AAATTTTTGCGCAGAATCTCTGAACTGCAAAAAGGGGAGATATAAGCCTTGAAAATATTCAAATATGAAATGCGCACTACTTGGGTAGTCAGTTGAGTGAAAGGTAAGAATATCGCAGTGGCCAATCGAAAAACTTCGCTCTTTCGTGTTTAGAGCCGATGCTGCTTTTCATACGACAAGGTTTAGCTAATTGAAACCTACAATTTTTTGATTTTCTCTCATTTTGTTGAATGCACTTGTTCTAAAAGGTGAACACGCCGCAGGCCGCTTAACTGGGCTTGAAGAAAATTAGCTGCCTATTCAGCACTAGACTGAAATTATACTAAGCACATTAAGCACCGCTGTTTCAGACTTCGAACATATGACGTGCGACGAGGGGCGATCAATTCTTGGGTTGCGAAGTAAGTATGGTTTGTCTGGGGTATAACAAAATAGAAAAGATCGTCTAACATCCATTTTTTCAAAGCACTCTTCGCTTTCGTGCTATAGGATTTCGTAAAGCATTGTTGCATAGCGCTATCCCTATAATTCGTTGCTCTTAATACAAAAATTTTAGAAAAAAATTTCCTTATTCTCAAGAAGAGTCCTTCCACACATTTTGTCATGAGTTTTCGAGATAGCGGTATGATACTAGTAAATGAACAGCCAAGATTTATACGGATGCTGCAGATTAGGCAACCCATGTGCTGGGACTGTGGCTGCAAATCATATTATGAATATTAAATAAAGGAGTACTAAGTGACAAGAAAGACGCACCAATGTATAGATAAAAGGCCAATAAGCTAACAATAAAGATCAAGTTGAAGTGCGAAGAACATCTTAACAAATAAACAACTTCTTCAAATATTGGTTGAAAAGGCCACTCTAATTCCATAAAGTCAAATGCTAGCTGTATGATGCACTAGCATTTAATTTAATACAAAGTGAATATTACTGGAAAAACTTCGATACTGCTAGACAGCAGATCGTTGAAAAAAATCTTGATATACATCATATAATACCGGATGCCGCAACCGCAAAACAACTTTGGAAATAAAACTCTAGTTTGAGCAACGCTTGACGGATTTCATAAGAGAAGAACCCGCGTTTTCATCAGAATTTTTAGTTAATAAATTGCTAACTTTTTAGTGGAGCAAACATAAAAATTCTATGAAACATCTGGCAGTAACAAATTTCAGAAATTGGTTCCACCTGATCATCGAATGCAACTGGCGATTTATAATACTAATTTTCATCGCCGGCTTTCTTGGCTCATGGACGTTCTTCGGCACTTTATACTACCTCTTTACTGTTGTCGGCTATCAGACCGTATGTTTTAGAGCATGGGTAGACCAGAAGAAATATCTATCCATAATTTTTTCAGTCAGATCGACGTTGCATAGAAAATGTGAATAGCTTTATCACTGCCTTTTTGTTCAGGTAACTAAACTTACTTCCTTCGCTTTATTTTCGCAAATCTGATGAATATTTCACGAAATTAGATTTGACGCATTCGATAATGTTTCTTTTTCAGCATGGAATCTCAGCACACTATTGGTTATGGGTTCCGGTGAGGAATCTTTCATATCTACAACATAAAACACTAATGAGAACATGAAAGAAAAATAGCTTAGTGGAAAGCAGTTCCTTTAGAATAGTAACAAGTTTAGTTAGATCAGGTCTACCACTGCCAAACAATACATAGTTGTACCTAGGTGGTAAAATAACAGGCACAGTTTGAATTCAGGTATATGACAGATAACTGTGCTCCTGCCTATGTGATTCTCTCAATACAACTGGTTGTTGGAATTTTCCTACAGACAATGCTAACCGGTATTGTGTTGGCTAAAGTGCTTCGACCAAAAAAGAGGAAACAGGTACGACAAAATGATCAGATTCTCAAATTTCCTCAGCATTTACATGCATGTCTATTCAGGAGATGAGGTTCTCTCGCATGGCGGTAATCGGGCCGTTAGATGAACATGATCGAAGACCTGCACTCATGATTCGCTTGGCAGATATCCAAGAAAAATTATTTCTAGCAGAATCACATGTGCGGTTGTACATGGCTAGTAGTAGAATCAATAATGTGAGTTTACTAATATTACAAGTTAATTTCTAATAGCTTTCTATGATTCCATTTTGACATTGAAAAAGTGC